ATACATACCCATGGAGTTTTTAGAGGAATTCAAGTGAGTATATTAAGCAAAGTATATAATTTTGGATTGATTACCTGGCTGCTTTGATAATAGCAAGGAAACACTATATTTTCTTTTTATTAGAATATAGTGTTCACTATATACTAACTAAATGGAAAATGTTTAAGTTATCTATTTCTGACAAATTCTAATTTGCCCCCTTTTGCTGAGAAATCTTCCATATATATCGAGTTACAATTCCCATAATTTCTAAGCAACATTGGATAAAAATCACGGTTGGGATTTATGGGTGGTGTTGTAGTCCAATACCCGGAGGGCCTTCCTGCAAGCAGAAAATTAATGTGAGGTAAAAATTAAGGACCAAGCATTTTCTCTTGTGAAATGCTACAACGGCCTTTGGGATTATGGAAAACTGTATTATAATTTCCTTTGTGACATGGAAAAAATAACAATGTCACGATTTGCTATTACCTATATTTTGGGGAAACTTGAATGACTGTAAGAAGTCTTGTTGCACTATAGCTCTGTGTGTGTGTGTGTGTGTGTATGTGTGTGTGTGTCTCCAACCTTGGCAATTTTCCCAGCTAGCCATCCTGGCTAGGGAAGTCTGGGAGTTGAAGTCCACAAGTCTTAAAGTTGCTGAAGTTGGACACCCCTGCCCTATAGTTTCTACAGTTCTCTAATGAGCCCAGAATATATTGTATGTAAAACCCTCTTCTTTATGCTATCATAGGATGTGCGGCGAATGTCTGGAGTGGCTCCAACAATTGTTAGATCAGCAAGTGACACAAATGAAAAGCGACCTTTTATGTGCGTGTATCCTGGCTGTAACAAGCGATATTTTAAACTGTCCCATTTGCAGATGCACGGTAGAAAACACACTGGTAAGTATCTTCATGGAATGCATAGTTCCCCTGAAATAGTTGCCACATCCAGTGTCTCATAGCCCTTCCTATGGTAACGGAAGCTTTTCATGGCCTTTCTAGGACTAAGCATTCTGAGAGCTTCTGGCAGTAGAATTAATTGCCAACCTGTCACTTCAGTGGTGTCGTGTACTAATGAAAATGTGGTGCATGCATCTCCTTTCACAAAAAGACTCAGAGGGATAATTGTATATAGGTAGTCCTCGACTTACAACCCTTCGTTTAGTGACTGTGCAAAGTTACAATGGCATTGAAAAGTGATTTGTGACCATTTTTCACATGACCGTTGCAGCCCACGCACGCACGCACACACACACACACACATGGTCACTTGATCGAAATTTGAATGCTGGGCAACTGGCATGTCTTTATGACAGTTGCAGTGTTCCCAGTCATGTGATTACCCTTTGCGACCTTACGACATGCGAAGTCAATGGGGAAGCTGGATTCACTTAACGACCAGGTTACTGTGGTAACTTAACAACTGCAGTGATTCAGTTTAACAACTGTGGGAAGAAAGGTTGTAATATGGGGCAAAACTCACTTAACAACCATTTTGCTTAGTACTGGAAATTTGAAGTTCAATTGTGGTTGCAATTTGAGGACTACTGGTAATTTCACATTTGAATGTTACAGAAAGATATGGCCATAAAATCAGGAAAGAACTACATGTATATATAAAACTTTACAGATCGCAGTGAAGCGAGGTATAATTTACAGAAGTGTGCATCATAATACATCCTCTAATCTTTTGGATACCTCAGGATTTTTTATTTTTTTTAAAGGGATTAGTGCATTATTCTAAATGAGTGGATTATATTAGCTATAATTATAATATTCTCATAGTGTATGATTCTTAAATATGTAGCTTCAAATTTTATAAGGTGGAGAAATGGAACAGCTGAATAGCAATTAATGTTTTGTTTTGTTTTTTAAAAAAGAAGAAAATGGAGTGGGTCATAAGATTTCCCCTTATAAAACAACTGATTCATTGCACTTCCTGCAAATTGTTATTTTACATAGTGTTACTATCTATGGAACTCTGATGCACAAAGCTGGAATTTGTATCAGTGCTTATCACTGCTTCAGCACAAATTTTGCTGACATCACAATTATGGTTGTTTACTAAGTGCCCTCCAAAGTATTAATACTGTTGACCCAGATATAAAAAGATACTCTTTTCTTGGAACAGCCAAAATAATGTATTTTAAAAAATCTTTATCAATAATATTGTACCCACTTTCACCCATCATTAACACCGAAGTAGCAACAATGATTTATTAGTTTGCAAATGATATATGGCTGGATGATTTTTTTAAACACATAAAGTGATACTTAGTTGCAATGAACTTTTTCTTCCCAGCAAAACTCAGTTGTAAATAAACTGAATACAGTAACTCATCACTTTGAAGATAAAATTTTTGTAACAGATTATCTATGGTGAAAATAATGATTTCATTAACTAACAAGATTTATATTAATGGAAGGGTTTTTTTTTAAAAGTCATAACAACTCTTCAAGGAAATAGAAAAATGTATCTAACTCTCTGATTTCCTTTATACAAAACTAAAATTTGAACCCATTCAACTCATTACGATTGGAATTTCTTTGTTGACTTTACTACAGAGCTGATTTGTTGCTAAGAGGTCAGATTCTCCCACTCGGTTTTCTCCAGATATATTGTAACTACAATTTTAATTAAAACTTGGTTCATACAATGGATTGTCTCCCAGTACAACCCACAACAAAAATGATGGGATTATAATGCAATTGTTTCTGGTTATCCAAGATGGGGAAATAGGTTAAAAGTATAAATGCCTAAGTTAACCCTAACTACATTAATATAGTTTTCTTGGCAGTATTATGGAAAGTGATTGCCATTGCTTTCTTTCAGGGTGTTCTCAATTGTCCAGTCTATCCAGCAGTCCTGGAATTCACAGGCAGTTTCCTCATCTAAGTCTAACTAAGGCTGACCCTGCTTAGCTTTTAAGATTAGCCAAGGTTGGCTGGTTGACTAGGTTCACCATCTGCTGAGACCACAGACTACTAACTACTGATGAGCAAAAATACCAAAACATGTAACCAGTGGTGGGATTCAGCCAGTTCGCACCACTTCGGCAGAACCGGTAGCTAATTTTTTGTTGCCCAGGCCCAGAATGGACTTCCAGAAGCGGCATCCACACAGAGAACCAGTTGTTCACATATTTGAATCCCACCACTACATGTAACTCTTGAAAACACGCTAAACCATAAACCTACTGCTCATCACCCTGCTTGGGTTCTATATTGAGATAATTTGCTAGGGATGTCAAATTTTCAGATGTTGCTAGCACTTCCAGAATTAGAACCTGAATGCAAAAAACACATTTTATAAAAACTTTTTGTCGTTGGGACTTATTGCTGCTTCAGATTTGGATCAGCTAAGCTAATGGAGGAATTCACTGTGAAGCTCAATTTTCCATGTGTTGATACGTGCTAAGGATTAAAAGATCAGGTGATCAGGCTGGGGACGCCTCATAACTTTCATAACTTAGCTGGGCACTTATTGTGTGACTTTACTCAATTAGTGTTTAGAATGTATATCCTCAGAAGAAGTCATAAATAGAAGTGAACAATCTGTTGTTTCCTCAAAAATTTACATTAAAATGCAGACCTTTGGCTTAACTAATAAGTGTCTATAAAAAAGATGTTTCTTTATTATAACCACAAAGCAATGAAACAAGATTCTCATGATTTCTTTTTATAAACAATGTTCAACTCACTTGCTGAACATTTCCTTATTTTTTTAGGACTGATTCTTTGTCACAAGTATTCATTGCTCTATATAAGTATTCTAGTGCTGGAATTATTTAGTTGCAAATTCACAGATTTTAAGTGCTGCCTGCCTAAGCTATTGTCTCTTACAAATATTTTATTTATTTTTTAGTCACTCATCTTATCCAATGACTTTGGGTAGTGAATAATAAGAAGTTAAAAAATTTAAAATAATTCATTCATTTATTTAGCATATTTCTATAGCCCACCATCTCACAAAAATGTGAGTCGGGGCAGCATACAATGTAACAGTTAAAAGCTCCATAGCAATCGAAAATCAGTAAAAACTAAATTAAAAAAAACATAAAACAAATAAAAAGGACACATAAAATAAACCTGTAAAAACCAAGAATGTGGGAGAACGTGTAGGGATGCTAAATTTTCAGAGTCTGCTAGCACTTCCAGAATTATAGCTTGAGTGTGAAAAATACATTTGGTAAAAACGTTCTGTTGCTACTTCAGATTTTTGGATCAGCTAAGCTAAGCTCAATTTTCTACGTGGTCCTTGTAAGCTGCTTCTGGGATCTTCAGGTCTGGAAAAAAATGTTTTAATAGTCTTCTGGAAAGCTAACACAGATGGGGCTAATAACATCATCTATGTATGTAATGAGGCTCTAGAGTCTAGAGGGCAGGGGCTACAGCAGAAAAGGCATGCCAGATGGAATTCCTTGCAAGTTCCCCCCTACCTGCCTCGTGAGAAAGATAAATACAATTGGAAAGCTGTTATGTAAGAAGTTGTAAGATATCACAACTGCATAAAATTACAATAAATAGCAGCCAAATAACCCTCTCCACAGTTACTAACGCCATCTTCTCTTTGCACATTTACAGACCCAGGCCTTGGCACAATAAATTGTTTACACAATTCCAACCATTTATTTTTAAGTTAGAAAGTGGAGATTGAATTTTTTTTAAAAAAAAATTAAACATTTATATTATCTTTTTTTTTGCACTATCTCTGTATTATACAGTATGCGAGCTTTGTTCTAGTTATGTTGACTGGAGTTTTATTTAATGTCAACAGCGTTATTTACTTCCTTCAAATAAACATGTTTTTTCTAAGGAGAAAAGCCGTATCAGTGTGACTTTAAGGACTGTGAACGAAGATTCTCTCGTTCAGATCAACTCAAAAGGCATCAAAGGCGACATACAGGTTTGTTGCATATCTGAGCTTTTGACATGTGTTGCAATTTGCAGTTTCCCTTATCAGGAGTATGTGAAATGAAGTTGTAATTTTTTGCTTTTAAGAGCACTAAAGGCTGGGACTATGACCTTTTATGTGTTTGTATAAGTTCAGATTTATACTACAAAGAAGCAATATTGAACTTAGGTTGGGATTATTTATATGCCCCTTGAAAATATAGTAATGTTAGTACCGATCAGTTGGACTGTATTTTTGGGAAGAGCATTTGTGCCTTAGATGTAGTTAGGTATTGTATAATTTGATTATTTCTAACCATATCTGCTGAGCATAGGTGATCCTAGAAACTAACCCTTTGGCCTGAGACACTGGGAAGTAATTTTTTCCCCATACTTGATAATGGGGAGGTATACTCCTTGATAGTTGAAATAACAGCTACTTAACAAACCTTAAGAGATTTAATACATTTTTATAAATGATACAGATGATCCTTGACTTACGACTATTGCTTTAGCAGCCATTCAAAGTTATGGCAGTGCCGAATGAAGGGACTTACAACCAGTCCCGGATATTACAATTGTTACAATGTCCCATGGTCATGTGATCAAAATTTGGATGTTTGGCAATCTACACGCAACTTTCCCCCCGCCACTTATCTTTTCCTTATCTTTGCCCTTTTGGCCCTCTGCTCTCAATGGCCCCTGCCACCCTAGCTGTCCTTTGTAGTCTTCTTGCTGCAGCTGCACCTGCTACTGACCAAAGCATACCCAGCCTGGTCCTTTGCAAGGCGACCACTGGCCACCTGAAGCTTTCTTCACCAGGCCTCACACACAGTGGTTGCCTCTTCAGGTCTGAGGAAGATGGCCTCAGTTGCCTCATGAAGGACCAGCCCTGGCATAACTCATCATTAGTTGAGCAAGCGCTCCATGGCAATGGACCTAGGTATTTGCAAGACCGCCTCCTACCAAATGTCTCCCTTCGACCAGTCCGCTCCCACAGAGAGGGCCTCCTTAGGGTGCCGTCGGCCAGTCAATGCCGGCTGGCAACCCCCAGGGGGGAGAGCCTTCTCTGTGGCAGCTCCTGCCCTCTGGAATGACCTACCCCCCGACCTACGTACAACTACGGACCTGCGCCTCTTCCACCGAGCCTTGAAAACCCATCTATTCCATGCGGCTGGCCTGGCGTAGTTTTGATTGGGCTTTGTTAGGGGTTTTATATGGGGTATTTTAGAGCAGGTTTTTTATTCAATATTTATTGTTTTTTATTATTGCCTGTTCACCGCCCTGAGTCCCGTAAGGGAGATAGGGCGGTATATAAATTTAAATAATAAATAAATAAATAAGACGGTCAGCTCTGATGGCAGAATTCAGGATAAGAGGGGTCTCAGTGTGCGTGCAGGGCAGTGAAAGTGGCTGGGGTTGGGGCAGCTGGGGCTTCCTGAGGTGGCATTGCAGTTTTGCATTGCATCGCTGGGCTTCCTGAGGTGGCAGCAAAAGCAACAACGGAGTGAAAGCAAAAGCATAATAAAAGCCAGCCAATCTTCATTTCTGATATTATTCCTTAAAAGAATTCCTTAGTGCAGGGATGTCAAGCTCGCGATGTCACGTTACGTATCACGACTTTCCTCCCCATTGCTGGCATGTCAAGTCAAAGCACTAGGGGTAAGAAGGCTCATTCAAGTCAAAGCACTAGGGGTAAGAAGGCTCCCAGAGTTCCTAAAGCATGCAAGCACATTTGTATCTCAATTTCAATAAATTTCTCTTTCCAAAAGAAAATAGTGCTGAGCACATCCGCAGTCCTATCACTCTACACAAGGGGTCTCCAACCTTGGCAACTTTACGACGTGTGGACTTCAACTCCCAAAACTCCTCAGCTAGCTATGCTGACTGAGGAATTCTGGGAGTTGAAGTCCACACGTCCTAAAGTTGCCAAGGTTGGAGACCCCTGCTCTATACCATACATCATAATCCCTCCGATTTCCTATAAGTTTGGAATCTGCAGAGAGACCTTACAAAAAGTCCTATTCTGGTGCCACCATCTTACAGGAGAAATACAAATGTTCCATCAGTTCCCTTGCAGTCCCACCACAGCTTACTTTGCACTGTAGTGTAATAAAAAAAAGCTCTTGTGCATGTGTAGAGGGTATAGAGAGTGACCTTAAGGGAGAGAGGGAAGATCCATTATCAAAGCAACAAACAGATAAATGTAGCTTAAGCCCATGCAAAGAAGAATTTATGAATTAAGGACCATCACTTCTCTAATTCTCAGGAAGAAAAAAGAAAGGAGAGGAAGCATATTTAGAATTAACATGATTCTAATACTATAGTCACTCTAATAAAAATAGGATAAGTGGTAGCAGTTTCTTGGTCTGGTTTACCTTACAGGACTGAGAGCATGTTTCAAATAAATATTTTGAAAGTTGTATATATTTTCAATAAAAATCACAGCATTGGATAAACATCTAATTGTGCAAACAGAAATAAAATTCATTAAGTTCAATAGGGTTTAGGTAAGTAAATATAAGACTTCAGCCTTAGTCCTTTATTATTATTATTTTTAAAAAAGCTGGTATCTTAAGAAATAATGAGAAAATAATTCTATGCAATGACATGCTTGTATAGATATCTACAGATTAGGAATACTGTATGATTTATTTATTAATTTCATAGTATTTATATGGCTGCTCATATTTTAAAATATCTTAATTCAAATAACTAAATAAAATAGCATACTAAAAGAGATTTGGAGCTCCTTTATGGACAATCATAAGTAAGCTCAGAAGAAAGGTAAGTGGAATATCGTGATTGATATTGTGTGCACAGTTAATTTTTTAAAGAATCTTCTAAGTACAGAAAATAAACTCAGATTTCTTTTTTCTTTTTTAAATTACATCATGAATAACGTTTTTAAAAAGTACTTGGATATGTGAAGAATGATGTACTGAACTGAAATGGAAAAAAGCACACGTTATTAAAGGACAGTATTGCTTGTAGAAATAACAACCATAATCGCATGATGTTTCTTATTTCTAATTTTTCAAGTTTTCACTCCAAAGTGAATTAATGCTTCCTTTTTTGCAAGAAACAAAGGCATGGTAAAAGCACTAAATGGAGTTAAAAAGGACCAGGAGGCGGAAAAAGGTCAGATAGTTGAGTTGCTTGATTAATGAGACTAGAGATGTGAAGGTTTGTACTTAGAGGGGAAAATGGCAATTGTTAAATAAAAGTAAAAGTCCATGTTTCTGAAATTCAGAAGAACGGATACTCTTATACCCCTGTAAAGGTACTAGAATACAAGAATAGATTTATTTTATGTATTTAGGTGTGAAACCTTTCCAGTGTAAAACCTGTCAGAGAAAGTTCTCCAGATCTGATCATCTGAAGACTCACACCAGGACTCATACAGGTAAAACAAGTGCGTATACTTTTTTCCCATTTATATATTCTTATTTATTTTATTGAAAGTTAAATTATGATATTTCTTGGAAATTATTCTGGGCATATGTGATATTGATATGTCTTAGCTATTACAGAGAAAATAATGCTTAACTTTTTGGGGTACTTAACTTTGGCAACTCTAAGACTTGTGGACTTCAACTTCTAGAATTCCCCAGCCAGTCACGGGAACTCTGGGAGTTGAGGTCCACAAGTCTTAAAGTTGCCAAGATTGGACACATCTGGCTTAGAGCAAAATCAAGAGTCATGACTATCATCCTTTGGCAGAAGAATTAAGTTCAGGTGACAAGAGTTTAAATTGGGCTAATCTGTCTTTTTAACTCAACTTAATTTGAGGCTGCAACTTCTAGCCAACATTCTAAATAGGACAAACTGACTCAATTCTTAGGTTCTGTCCCAGAGGTGAACAACCTGACCACAGGGGCCCTGAACACCACTCGTGCAGCTCTGAAATCACTCAGAACACAGAAGCTAAAAATATGAATTTATTTCATAATCGTCATCTTCCCTGCTCCCAGCAAAGTTGAGGAGAAGAAACTATTATTTAATCTGAGGAAGAAGGGACATATGTGTGTTTAATCTGCTATCTGTATCTCCACCTCCTTGAAATAAGAGAGACAGTTCTCTAGGACCTAGTCAATTTCACTCATTGTGCTCTAGAGCAGGGGTCTTCAAACTTGGCCCTGTTATGACTTGTGGACTTCAACTCCCAGAATTCCTCAGCCAGGCATACTGGCTGAGGAATTCTGGGAGTTGAAGTCCACAAGTCATAAAAGGGCCAAGTTTGAAGACCCCTGCTCTAGAGTATCTGTCTATATGTTGTTATAGCAAGGTCAGCCCTCCTTTTTGAGCTTTATTTCTGCTTTTGTGTCTTTCACTTTTTCACATTATTGTATTCTGGAGATGCCCAAAGAAATGTGAGAGGAGAGGCAAGCTAGCCTAGAGAAGGCACAGTTCTGAAATCATGCACACACATACATGTCATTCCTGTTGCTGGCCCTGTTTGGTGGATCTCTTCTCCACTGGTTTGGGACATACTGCAAGGAAATATCAATGCAGCCAATGAAAGACATTGCCTGCATTTATTGAATAATCACAAATTAGAACATGCAGCAGTGACTTCAAGCAGATACTAAAGAGGCAGAATGGGGTTAGCTAAGGGGACAATTATTTTTATGGTAAGATTCCTTTGTGCCCTCTCTAGAATGGGCAGGCAATATTTTGAAATTGTCAGAAGAAAGACTCTAAATGATTAATATCCCAACAGCAAGACTTTTTAAAGTTTATACACACCAACTCTAGTTCACCCTTTATAGTCCAATGTAGCAAGGCAAACTAGTGGAAAACTAGTAATGCATGTATTGTCTGTTTAAAAATAAAAGTGTTACTTCTTCACAATACTTATCATTAATCTTAAGGTTCTAAAATAAAGGTAACTGAAGTTGGAGAATATATTATTCAGAATATTTTCTTCAGTGGACCATTTACAAAATATTTAACAATTTAGATTGAAGTTTCCATTTCATAATATTTTCTAAATTGTCTCCTTGAGAACAAACAAAAAGTGTTAAATTCCATTTCAATACTTTTTTTAAAAAAAACCCAAACCCCTTTTTTCCTCAATAAAACAGATACAGGAAATGGTGAGATAGTGGTGATCTAGACTGAGGGCATAGCTACTTTTTCTCTGGATTGCTTTGCCACTAAAAACAACATCTTTTTTGGGGGGGGGAATGCCATCAAGGCAGTATTGACTCCTGGTGACAGTCTGGACAAGTCCTTGCAATTTTCTTGGCAAGATTTCAGAAGTGGTTTGTCCTTGTCTCCTTCCTAAGGTGAGAGAAAGTGACTAGCTCAAGGTCACCCGGCTGGCTTCATGCCTAAAATGGGATCAGAACTCAGTCTCATGGTTTTTACCTGATGCTTTAACCACTACACCAACCTGACTCTCTGTCCTTAGCTGCTATTTATTCCGAGAGCAGTCATTTGGAAAAATAACACTTGAGTGGCAATTTCTTCAGGGCATGCATGCTGTTCCATGATGCAAACTTGGTACAAACTGAACTCTTTGGGGTTGGTTTAAAGCAAAATAAGGAGAAGAAAAGAGAAGCCTATGGATATCACAATGAAGGACAGCTGTTACAGGGCCCAGTCAGCAAACTTACTTTCAAAGCTATTGTCCTCCAGAGTTTTCATTCTCTTTTGTGGTTACTCCATCTGACTTATGGAATAGAAATGCTGCCTTCCAATGTGAAAGACAGAGGGCTTCTGGCTTTGACTGTTTCCATCTCCTAGGAGGAAGCAATGTCCAGGGTTGCATTTAATGGCTTCAGCTAATTTCCCCCTTACCCTGCCAAAACTCATTGAGGTTAGAGGGGGAAGGTTATCTATACAGATGCTGTGCTTGTTTGGTACAAATTTAGGACTGAGACTTTTTTGTAACCACCCGGATCTCTGGACCATGATTCAATTGAGGGATTAAACAGGGAATTGAATCCCTGTTATTAAATGTACATTTAAGACACATGTGCATATAAATATGGATTTTAAGACACAGGCATTAATTTAAATTAATGATGGCTTAGAATATTTTAATTGTACTTTCAATATTTTTATTATGAATGTTGTTTTTATATTATTATTGCAAACTTTCAAGAGGCTATGGTAGTTAGTACCATAAAATGCAATGTAAAACTGGCCATTTTTCCTTTAAGCAACCTTGTGAAATTTGACTATTCTCTGTCAAACAGGGAGAGTATAATAATATAATATAATATAATATAATATAATATAATATAATATAATATAATATAATATAATATAATATAATATAATATAATATAATATAATATAATATAATATAATATTATAATATAATATAATATAATATAATATAATATAATATAATATAATATAATATAATATAATATAATAATATAATATAATATAATATAATATA